AATGTATCCCTCGAAACATGTTTTGATCTCGGACACCTTTAATAAACTAGTGGCATTTTGGCAACTAACTGCATTTATTGCTATTTCTTGGAAGCAGACAAGTGAAAAAAGGGAAAAAGAAATGAAAATGATGATGGTCCACATCTTTCTATCCCCATACCGTCCAAAGGCAAAATTACTTGAGTAGAAACGGACTCCTTGACTGCCAATACAACAGGAAGATCCTTTCCGGGAGTATGATCATCATCTACTTGGTTTCAATCAGCAATAATGTTGTCATTATCTGACACAGAATTGATGGAATTGAGTTAAAACTTCAAACTCAATATGGTAAGGTTTGAGTCAGAAAACACAGAAGAAAGAAAATGAATTAACTCACTCTCTGCAATTGGTGTAGAAATGGTTTCCACCATTAATGTCTTCTTCAGAGCACGTTTTGACTGGAGCCCTTTGGAAACCTAGTGGCATTGGTCCACCGAATGCATTTCTTGTTGTTTCCTGAAAGCAGACAAGCATAAAAAATGAAATTGATGTTCTAAGGTCAAATGAAGAACAGAATTGGGATTTACCTTTCCATTGCTAGTCACTGGAGCTGAGTGAAATCTTAGAAGAATCCCCAGAATAGGTATGGCCGTTGGAACATGTACATTAACTAATGATGCTCACAGGGTTCCCCAAGTTGGAGTTGGGGATTCTTTGTATAAATCTCACTTTTCCAAGAAGTCCCTTTACCAGCTGAGGATGGGCAACGATATTATGATTCACTGAGGATGCTTTACTAGCAACTTTCTTCCTTCTTCTACCTTTGGAGCATCATGATTCTCACCATCATGCACATCCTTAATGAAGTTATCTCACGCTTGCAACAAGGTGGGGCAACGGCTGCTTCATAATCCGTTTCAGGATGAGCTGCCAAAATTTTTTTAAAAAAATTTAATAGAGTTAAAAGACACAATGGAAGTTAAGAAAAAATTTATGGCAGAAGTTGTGACTGCTAAGTGTTGGAAAGAAATACTTGGGACATCCACTTTTGGTGCAACAAGAACAAATATAACTTTTGAGCCATCAGAATCAGAAGCATAAAACCCACAATGGTGTTCTCAGGAATACTCCTCCGTTACCAGTGAAGTACTTTTTAGACGACAATGGAGATTAGCATTGGGAAGTCTAGTGAGGCGCTTGTGGCTCGCATATGTATAGCTGGAGAGAATTCAACAATAAGTCCCAATAAGTGATCATTGATGTGTTAATGTTGCCAAACTATCCCTGCTATACATAACGCCTTAGGGTTATTCTACCAATATGCTGCATCATGTTGTCTTACAAACATTGTGGGGGACTCTGCTTGCATCAACACTTTAATTGGAGGCAGTGGGATTCCCTGATCAAAGCTAAACTGCCAACATATACTTTCGGAACAATAATGGCCCAAAGCAAACCTCTGGTTCCACCCAAAGCAAGGGAGCCACCCAGGCATAACTATCGCTAGTTCTTTTAAACAATGCACATTGTCAGAGGAGAATGGCAATTCACTAACAACGGCTTTAGCATGGAGTTTTACTTGAATCTGTCAGCCAGGAAGGTTGAATGCATGTAGGGTCTGAAATCAAAGGTGATGGGGTCATCAAGGATCTCTTTGGGTGGCTTAGGAGTTTTATTGGTGTCCGCATCACACCAAAACGAAGCCAGTGGAGTTTCACCAGAAGTATGCTTGCAGAATTCAAAGATTCCAACTTCGGGTGGGGGATTTGTTAGGGAAATCAAGCAGAATTGGGGCTGGCGAAATTCCGGCAGAACCCAAAATGACACCCGCAATAGAATTGGAGATGGTATCGCAGATGCTCTGGCACAACTACCCTCAACTGCACCATGCATTATTGATCTTCTTGGCTGGGGAAATCTAGGGAAACTTGGGCATCAAAGTTCAGGAATTTGTAGTCACAATCGAACCAAGGGTCAATGAAACTAAAGTGTTGATGTACTTCTTCTTCTGCATGTGCCATAGCGTGGAAAGCAGTGCAACCTTCTGGTGGTACAATTGGAAAGAAGAGTCAATGTTAGGCCGATATGTGTAGGAAATGGTAGTACGAAGTTCACAAAAGAGAGATAAAAGTTCAAAAGCCCCTGGGATTTTCAAAAGTTTACACAATCGAACTGTCAAGAATGAAAGCACTCACCTTGGACTCATGGGAAGGAGATGAGAAGTTTGAAAGGCAGGGCAACAGGCTGGGAATGCATTGACAAAGGCATTATGTTGGGGCTTTCCCAATGGCTCGTCGGCAATGAAGTTTGGTAGACATCTCGAGACTCCTCTACAGCAATTCAAGGCAATTCAAAAGAACAATCAGTCGAAAGTTCAAAATCGACAATCAACTTCTGAGTAGAACGGAACTACTTGCTAATCACAAGCCGTGGCTAAGTTTTCAACTCACCGTAAGGGACGTACGAGCTTTGCTAATTCAATTCGACGTTGCCTTTTTTTCTTTGAGGTCGCCGCAGCAAGTTCTAGGAAATCTTTTCCACCGGTTCTTGGTTTCGGCAGAGCCTCAACGACTGCCTGCTAATCGGACGACTATTAGGTGGCATGAAGAGACAAAGCCAAGAAATCCAAAGCGAAGTTAGACATGCAATTCAAAGAGGAAAAAAAGAGAAAGAAAGAATGGCAGAACCAGAGCTAACCTGCACAGTGGAAGTAGAGATGCCCAATCAACCAAAAAAAAAAGAAACCGTAAAAACCCAAAATAGGTTTCATAATAAACAACAAAATTAGAAAGTAAAACCTTAGAGAAAAGAGGAGTTACCTTATTTTTTAATATCCCAAGCAAAATGGAGATGCCCCCACAAGTTCTCACCAATAAACCAAAATGGGTTTTGCTCAAAATTAGTCAAATAAAAGGAAGAGGACTGAATCAACAATACCCGAACAATTTGCTTTCCTCTTTTTTTTTTTTCTTTTTTTGAGAAGGAAACAAAAAGATGTCAGCAGGGAATCACCCGATTTGGAATTTCGGCTTTCAAAGAAGGGGAGAAAGAAAACACAGAGAATGAGAGAACAAGTGAGATGGAAAGGTGAAATAGGGCTGGAAGTAAAATTGACTTCTCTGGTTTATTTATTTATTTATTTTTTTAACGAAAAACTTTACGGTGTTGCAGTAATAAAATTGTTTCATGTAATAATAGGAGAATAAATTTTTGGGCGACTTATATTCTTTTAACTATTGAGGGATGATAGAGATTCAATATCAATTTTTATTTTAGTTGCAATATTATAGAAATTAAGTTTTGTTTATACTTTAAAATAATTTATTTATATATCGCAGGATTTAAATTTTTTTTAAAGAATAAATAATCTAAATTTATAACTTAAATCAACCTTAAAACTATACATAATTAACTCCTAGACCAACAATTTATGACTATAATTTGAACTCTTAAAATTTCGTAGTTTGAGGTTGAGAATGTGCATAATTTCTTAGCTGCAACGAAATAAGAGTCACTTTGTCCATATGAACAAAGTTGAGGGGTGATAGAGTCGAGTGGCTAAATTGTGTAATTTGCCTTAACAAAACTAAGGTTTTATTTGATAATGCTTACATGCCTCTCAGGGCCAGCGCCTCCGCAGATACAAAAGCAAATCAAATTCCAACTCTACATCCTTCTCTTTGCTAGAGTCCTTAGCGGTTTCGGGAGCAGGTTCATATTTCACCGTCACTTTCGGTGGGCACCATCCTCAGTTCTCTCACATTAATTTGTTCCGAGTTTTCTGTTTTTGCTTTAATTTATTATATTAGGTCCAATTTACTCCACGGAGCCGCTGTTTAGATTGGGCCTTCTTTTTCCGTTTCCCGTTCGGTATTCGGGGCTTCACCCTGACTAATCCGGACTCGACTCGCATTGCGCAATGGTGGGTGAGTCTCCCAACGGAAGCTGCTGCATTCACAAGGTCTCAAACTCGAAACCTTACTTAAGCTGAAACAAGCTGCTTACCACTTGATCCAATCCCTCGTTAGTAGATTGGGCCTTCTCACGATTTACGACCGGTATCTTTCCAGGTATTAGGTGAAGTTCACTCTTTTTTTTTTTTTTTTTTTTTTTTTTTTTTTTGAATAGGGCAATTTGGGGTTTAAACACCGCCCACAAGAGGTGATCCCCACTTTAACCAAAGGTTGTGGCGATGGGCCAGGGTGTGGGGATCAAACTCAATCAAAATTGGACTATCAACCTTCACAGCTTTCAATTTACAGCAGTTAGCAACATGCAGCCTCTAAAGCCGAGGATTCAGAAACTTTAGCCTCCCTAACTTGTCACATCTAACCATCCAGAGATTCTCAAGCAAAGGAAATTTGGAGATTAGATTATGAAAAGTCCTCTCTGTGGCAAAATAGCCACACAACACCAAGGTTTCCAAATTGCAACAACATTCTGCGAACTTAATCCTGAAGGGTTTTTTCCGAGCACCCATGTAGATAAAGTTTTTCAGATTCGGTGTTGCAATTTCTATGATATTCATGCGACCAGTGTTCATATCAGAGACCTGTAGAGTTTTGAGACACGGACTCGAGGTCTTTATTTTTGTTGAGTTGACGACGTATGGAAAGAAAAAGTAGTTTAAGAAGGGTTAGTTTCAAAAGAAGAGAGGGTAACTCCCTGCCTGTTATTGTATCTGATGACTTCAAAAATAAAGATTTCAAACGATCACAACCATCAATGTTGACGATCTCTGACCAACGGTGCCTTGATGGCAAAACACTAATGGTAAAACTTCGGATTCTTTGAGAAGCAACCACTAACTTGGGAAAAAAAGAGCCAAAACCAACATCGACAATGTGGAGTCTACGAAGGTTAGAAATCTGGCTGATTTCAAGCTAAGACATTGATAGAGAACAAGACGTTCAAGGGAGGGGAAGTCATCATCCTTCCAAATTATGGGATCTTCTATAAAGCAATAGTTAAAAGACAACTCCCTAAAGGTATTACATATAGATAAGGGCTGGTCTAAATAACACCTCGTTAAATTTAAAACGGTTAACTTATTAGAGGAAAATGGTGGCCGGAGTAAAGTAAATAATTGTTTTGGAAGACTATCAAACTTGCATCTTGAATTGCTCTCCCGACATAGATCAAACCTTTTCACCCCATTCTCTGAAGCTAATCCTATCAAACTGTAGGGGACAGAATAAAGTGAATCCTAAAAGAGCTCCGTACAAAATGCCACCAACTTTAACTTATTCTGGCTAAAGTGGCTCAGAGAATTATAAACAACTTGTCTAAACTTGTTTATGTCACCAAAGGGTCCCTTAAATTCCAAGACAGGATATGATGCCTTAAAATGGTACCATTGTTTGGATAAAATACTGGTTCGAGCTACGTCTTTTGCAGGAAGGAGAGACATAATGTGATGTATGATGGATCCACACCACCGACATTCTTCCTCCTACTCCGCTTCATGTCGTTAAAATCTGTTTTCCATTTGGAAATTAATGTACAAGTTGAACTCCAGCTAAAAAAAGAAAAAAAAGAATTGCAGACTGGAAATTGCTTGGAAAACGGAGACCAGATAAATCAGGATACCATATGACCTATCACTTGATAAAGGATTTCCATTCCAGCAGACAACCTAATGGTACCAAAATTTATCACCAATCAATCTCAAATATATCATTCGGACGTTCCAATTTTAAAAAAAATAAGAATTACATTCCCGTCTTCTCCATCATATTCTTCCTCTTGCTCGTCGCTATCAACCTGTGCCTCAAGATCAAGAAACTGAGAACCCCAGCGCTTGCTCCTCTGCAGTCTCCCACCAAAATCTTTGTCCTCGTCATCATCTTCGTCCTCTTCGTCGTCTTCCTCCGCAACATCGTCAATAAACGCTGATCTTCTGCGCATCCGGCTCAATCCAACTCTCTCCTCCTCTTTCGTGTCGTCTTCCATCAGCTGCTCCGACTCTTCTTCGTAGTCATCTTCGAGCTCCTCGTCCTCCTCATCTCTCCGCCGTCTCGCCATTGCCAGGAGTCTCAGGGTTTCAGTAGGGTTTTATAAATCCCCTAAACTTGGTATGTCATCTTTTTTAATGTTACATACATATATGCCTTGACTCTTGTCTTACTTCCGCTTTACGCTTTGACTTATTTTCCACTTTGTTTTGTGTGCGCGCGTTTATGGAGTAATTGCTAAATATATGTGTGTCATTCATTATACGTTAAAATATATCATTTAATGAGGCATTTAAATGGTATTTTTTAAATAAATAAAGATTTTAATAGTAAATTACTTTATTTCACAATTTTTTTATTAAATAAAAGGTAAATAAAAAACTTTAATGAGTAATATTTATATTTTATAAATTTTGATTTTTTAATTATGTCATACACAATTATAATAAATAAATAAATAATATATAATTAAAATATCATATAATATTATAAATTTATAACATATCACATTTTAATTATATATCATTTTTATTTATTTAAGAGCTCACTTATGATAAAATATAAAACCAAAAACCATTAATTGCTCGAAAGCATTGAAATTGAGTCACAAACTGAAATTAAAGGAGAAAGAGAGTTTTTTAGATAAGTCTAATGTGGTCGCTTCTTTCTTTACAGTTTACAGTAACCAACAAGAGTTGTCAAGCTTGCATGGTGAACTCTCATAAGAAGTTGCACCTGTAAATTTATTCAAGACAAGGATTAATTTAACATAAGAAAAGAGTGCAAGAGTATTCTAGAGGTTAAAGTGCTGACCCCTGTAAGGAACTCCTCATACCCTTGAGCTGATGATGGAGATAGCATCTTCACGGCTACTTGAGTATCGTTATCCAGCTTGTTGGTTTTTTCACAAAGAAATGGGGAGAAAATCAGGAAGAAGATGAAAAGCAGAACCCATGGCATTTTTTATTAATTCAAACTTTTGTACATAACAAAAAGTTATAATGAAAAATTCAAGAGTTGGACTTCTACTTTTCTGAAGTTGTGCTACCTTGTCTCCTTGTAAGTAGACAATGGTTTAACCTATCAATAAACAACAAAAAAGGACAGCATTATTGATACATATTAAACTTTGAAACCAACAGCCTGTTTCTTAAATTACATCCAAAAGTTAACTAAGTAACAACTGCTCTGTTTCATTGTTTTAGCTTTTAGCTATTCACTGCTCCGTAACTTCAAAAGTTTGCTGGAAATGTGTAGCTTTGCTGTATCAACACAGCTTTCCATGATAAACGGTTCCAAATCCTCCGTCTCCAAGCACCCGCTTAATGTTGTTGGTAATTTTCTGGATTTCAGTAAATTACGCAAACCTCGGTATGGATTCAACCATATATGGAAGGCAAGCTGTAGCTGATGCATGTTTGTGGGTTCCCTCTTCAGTCTTCCCTGCCAGCAAATCATGAAAGAAGAATCAGAAAACCTTTTTCTTTTAAATACTAAATGTCAAGTCAGTGATAGAGAGATACAATCCATCTTACTAATCAATGGACAAATACTTGGTTTAGAATAATTGTAAGTTATTTTAATGATTAAGCAAAATCAAATGAATCTGCAGTTTTGTTTCTCCTTTTACTTCGGAATAAACTATTATTACAGGGTAATCTGACATTACAAAACAGACAAGGTTTTAGTACAGCTAGAATACAGTTAACGGTTTAATTAATTAAACAGTCATCATTAAAGTTTTGCCCTCTATAAAATGGAATCCAATGGTTTAATCATCGTTTCGATGTTATTTAAGACAGCTAGAAGGGCTCATTTCTTCAAATTTCATTGAGATGCGAATCAAATAATTAATATTGAACTAAATTGATCAAATTCTAGGATAGAGAAGAACTAACTTGTTATTTCTTTGGAACTACAAGTACAAATGCAAAGACGAAATCATATATATAGGAGGTGAGACTCCTTCAAACACATTAAACCACGACTCATATGTTAATGCTGGCATCAACTATAGCTATAAAATCACTGAAATCTGCAGTAACTCCATCTCCAGTATGGAGATTAATTTATTCTGAACATAACAATAAGTTTACAAGATCACCGAAGAAAGGGACCCATTTCAGAACTGATATTCAGGTTCACGGTGAACATGCCAGCTGAGTTTTGTGATCCATTTTCATGTCCTATCTTCTTCCTAGCTCTCTCAGTTGCTAAGCACTCGTAAATTTCCCCCACGACATCTTTCATGGTTGGCCTTCCTGTGGAAGTTGGAGACACACAGGCAATTGCCACTTCTACAGCTTTCCAGGCAGAATTAACATCAAAATCTTCTTTCAATCTTGGATCGACAATTCTTTTGATATCACCCTTGGACAGCATGAAGTTTACCCACTGACTTATGTGAGTCTTGTCAGTGGTGTTTGCAATCACAGGCCGGGTTGTGATGACCTCCAGAAGCAAAACCCCAAAGCTATAGATATCACTCTTCTCAGATAACCTGTTTGTTAGGTAGTACCTGCAGGACAAACGCTAGTTCGTGGTTTGGTTCGAATATAAAAGTAGAAATGTCTATGCATCTTTTGGATGTGGAATGGGTTATCATAAATATAAGCACTCACTCGGGATCTAGGTATCCAGGGGTACCAGCGACAACTGTTGACACATAACTGCCAGCTTCCGTGGTAAAGGTTTTGGACAACCCAAAATCAGCCATCTTGGCTTGGAAGTTTTCATTTAGTAAGATGTTTCGAGACTTCACATCTCTGTGAATAATGGGTGGTTTACAGCCATTGTGCAAATACTCCAGCCCTGCATTTGGACATTAATTGAATTAACCAGTTAGAAACGAATAGAGCCCAATAAAGGAGAAAAGAGAATCTGCAAAATTCATGCAGATTCTAGACCTGATGCTGCATCAAGCATTATTTGAAGCCTTTGTTCCCAACTCAAGATGTGATTGCTGCTCTCTATGGACACAAACAAAAAGAGTGTGAGATCTTAGCTTAAATTATATCGGAGATAAAAGACAGTAGAACCAAACTTTATCAGGTGAAAACCTGATAGATGCTCTGCTAGATTTCCTTCGGCCATGTACTCATAGATTAGCCCCATGTAGGTGCCTTCATAACAGTATCCAATAAGGCTCGTCAAACTTTTATGATGAACTCTCAAAAGAAGCGTGACCTAAAATAAAAAAAAAAATAGGATCAAAATCAAGCAATTGTTTTTTGCTTATTAATAAGTGGGTCTGCTTTAGTATCTTAAATCTATCCCCAGATAGATGTGCTCAAGTGCTACAGAAGATAAAACTTCTGCATCAATTAGGGCCATAACCTCTGCTTCAAATTCCTTATATCCTTGAACTGATTGTGGAGAAAGCATCTTCACTGCCACCTGAGTGTCACCGAAGTAGCCATGAAAAACCATTCCGAAAGATCCTTTACCAAGAATTTTCTCAAAATTGTTTGTGATCTTCAGGATCTCAGAATATGTTACTCTTCGATTTTTTGGCTCCAGTGAGAGGCACGATGATCTATAACCATCCCTCTCCCTAGCTGATAAAATCATAATAAGTTCTGTTAAGGATAAAAATATAGGTGCCTCAATTTTACTTGCCTAAAAATCTACTGATTAATGTTTTAGTGTAAGCCATCTCTTACCAAGAAGTTTTCTACTTTTAAGTCTCCATAGGATAGCCAATGCAATTATGAGTGCCAAAAGTGAAGAAGCTGAGACTGCTATTGGAACAGCAATACCCTTGCCTGTTTTCTTCTTGCATGATATTGATGCACAAAGATTTGGGTTTCCTTTGACTCTAATTTAACCAAATTCCAGTTGACAAAACATTAGATAAGTAATTCATGGGAATGGAAGAATGGAAATATTTGACCATTTTTTGAAGAGAGAACATACCTTAATTGCAAACCATTCTCTGACCTTTTAATTAGTTTGGCTGGAACTGAACCATTAAGCATGTTTGCTTCCAAATTTCTGCAATTTGCATAGCAGTAATGAGCTTTTTAGCTTAGAAGGAAATTTCCTTTTAAGTGATAATCCTTTTAACTTACAGCACTGTCAAGAATTGCAGCTGAGAAAGAAACTCAGGCACTGATCCGGTCAAACTATTTTTTGATAAGTCCCTGGTATGTAAAAGAAAATAGTTAAGTTTGTGTTTTTACTCCATTCTGCAATTTGCTAGCTAGTCCCTTGAACAAGGAGATACTCACAGATATTGTACTTCAGTGAGATTGGCTATACAAGAAGGTATTTCTCCTGTCAAACCACTGGAGGATAAATTCCTGTTTCATAGTCACTTGTTCATTTAACAAAGATACTAAATTAAATGAAAACTATTGATAACTCAAAGAGGAAGGCAGAGACTTACAAGGAGATGATTCTAGGTTGATCATTATCGTTCTGTCTGCAGTCAAGACCCTCCCACAAATAAGGAGCACAAGGATCTCCTTGCCAGTTGCTCTTCATCAATCCATAGGTAGATTTTATATTCAAGATACAATCAACTACATTACGTCGGAATATAAATTAGAATTGGTTTTAATTTTAACATTATGGACATTGATTCTGTATTTTAAAGAGAGTACCATCTCGTTGGGCTGTTTGTAACTTTGGAAACTTTTTCTCCTTATAAATTTCAAAGGCATTAATGATGGGTGGAAGAGTTGAACCTTCTGCTCTGGAGATTGAAAAGAATGCATACTGTCCAACTTCCCAGGCTTTTGGGGTGAATAGAGTGGTTGCATTCAAATACCGAGGAGTAAAAGGCCCATACTTATGCAGGCCGTTGTGATATACGTTCATCACTCGTGACACGTTGGCTTCAAATTCAGCAAAGTACATATAGGCATAAAACTTGTCATCAGACTTCGGGGTGTCAAGGTAAAAATCCAACGTCTTACTAGCATCAGCAGGCGTTACGGCAGTCATCATTGCAATCGATGGTGGCTGGTAATCATCGTGACTTCCAACAGAGGATGCAGTACTTACCTGTGCCCAATCGTTTCTATTGTAAGGGACCCAAAAACGGTCATAAACATCTTTGTTAAACCTGGTCAAATGGCGATGCCGAGGTATATAAACAAGCTTGTTTTCTTGGCAAAAAATTCTATACACGATATTGACATGGACTTTACCTGAAAGCTTCTGTCGTTGAACCAGCATCGAACCTTTTGACGAGCTCCATTGATCCAGTTTCACTTTCGTAAGTTGTATTTTTCAAAGGCCTTAGCTCTAATACTGATATGAATGGTGTCCCATTCCCAGTATTTACAAGACAAACATACAAGTGATTTGACTGGAGAGTATGAATGATCTCAAAGCTCATGGGAGTTGATGCATCTGTTAATGCCACTGAAGTCCAGAGGTTAGGCCCCAGATACAGATCAAATTGCGGTGCTTCGTTTTTCTTGTCGTAGTTTCCATACATGAACCCTGCTCTGATTAAAAAACGATCATCCTTCTTGAGGATTAGGTTGTAACAGTTTCTTTCTCCTCCAGGGAAGCTCCTAACAGTCCACATCTGCCTCTGAATCCTTGACTGAAATTCAGGTAGTATACTCTCACTGCGGCCAGTTTCTACATAGGCAGCATCTGAAGTATATTTTATGCCTGTTCTTGTAGTTTCAGAATAGCTCAAATCTTCTGGTAACCCACAATCTAAACTAATGAAACCTGAAGGAGAAACGTAGGGACGTCCAATTAAGTTCCTTCATTAGAGATGAATATAAGTTAAAACGTTATTCAAAGATCTAGACATCAAACCTGTTTGATCCTGAGCATGCATGGAAATTGGAAGAGCGAAGCTACCAACCAATACAAGGAGGAAATAACTTGACATCTCCATCGTAGCTCTCACTGAGAAAACAAAGAAAGCAATTAGTATCTATCACAATTTACAAAAGGGTAATGATTGGTGCACCAGAATAACATTGTGTTAAGAATAATAAAATAAAATGCATAAGACCAACATATAATGCAAAGTATAAACAAAATAAAATCAAAGCATCTCTTAAAAATGATGTTTATTAAGTGATGTGCTCCTAATTAAACCAACCAGAGCTTAGTTTCATTAGTATCTACTAATTTAAAGCCTTGCTTATGGGATCAAGGGTCGCTTTGATATAACGGTTACAATTTAGTGGATAACGGGTAACAAGTAATGGATAGTTATAATGAGTAACGGATAACGGATAGTGAATAGTAAATAATTGTAGTAGGCAGCGGATAATAATTAGCAGTTAATTAGTGATCAACGATTGACAAATAGCAAAAAAATAAATAACAGATAGTGAATAGTATATTTGATTAATATAACTAGTTGAATATACAATAACTAACGGTTGTTATTTAAAGTTAAATGACTAATAAAGACATATTTAAAAAAATTTACTTTTTTACTTATATAATTTTTATTATAAAAATGATTAATTATAT